TGATTTATCAATATTAATTTTTTTTTAGTTCAACTGTTTCAATTATACTGATTTATTCAGAGCTTTATTGTGTTATTATTTATTTGTCATTTATTTTACGAATTCATTTATATTCTACATCTATTGCAAATTCAAAACATTAAATTCGCGTAAATGGTTTCATTGAATCTTTTATAATTCTTCCCAAATATATCAAATATAATTTTAAACATTCTGGAATTAAATAAAAAATAAATCATAACGACGTAAAAGATAAAACATAAAATATAACTTTAAAAATTTAAATAATTTAATTATACCTACATGATTTCAAATAAAAAGAACTGAGTGAACTTTAGCTTAGAAATCATATATCTGTCACTACATTTTATGTGCATTTTTATGCATTATTCCATCGATTCTACGATGACTGAAAGAATCAGCAGTAACACTATGAGGTTCTGCTGATTCTGCAAGAAAATACATCACAAGATAAACGGCGACACGAGGACAGGAAAGACTGCATTGCTAAAAATAATAAAAATTCATAGTGGTGTGTGTATGTGTGTCATTTTGAGATATTATATGGAAAAATATACAATATTTTCTCTCAACGCGGTGAATTCTGTTAAGAACTCAGTATTCTTCTTTCTTTCGAGCCACGTACATTGTCCATCCTTTATTTGAAAGCAACACAAAATTGTGTAAATCGAATCCGATGTCTCTCTCGTAAGTAAAAATTGAATCGATATTAAATAAACGATATAAACAAAAAAACTGATACTCTAATTGAGAAGAAATAAACACGCATATATAAGTCATATAATAATTAATACCATTTGTAAATTAGCAACCATTAAGAAATTGACATTGAGTAGTGTGGTTATCCCATACAACTTCCATTTCTACAAATAAGTTTTTAAGTGCTCGTTACGAGTTTGATTTGTTTCTCGGGTTATTTTTTTCCTGTTAGCACAAGTTCTATACGAGCGTATCGTATTCTATTCCAATTTCGCCATTTCCATTACACGGAGCTATCGAATAATTATTAATGACGATGTTCCACCCGCGTAGCGTTCACATACATACGACGAACTTCACTTCGGGACACGGCGCGGTGCGGCAGTCCCGGTGGTAGCATGAAAAATTAATGGGATACATTGCGCGATTCCGAATGCAATCCACTTCCGACTACTCGAATGCTGTCGAGTATTCGTCGACTTCACATTGTCGCGGAAATCGTTTTCACAAGCCGATCGACTTTCAACCGATCCTCCGATGATCCTCCGTAGACTTTCGTATGATCGTACAGGAATTGAGGTTCATGTAGATGCGATTATGTAGACAGCGACTCCTTGTGCGCTTCCAATTAGCAAGAAATCGAGACGTTGCGAAGTTGCGAAATGAATTTTTAACACGTAATCTCCTTAAAAAAAAAAAAAGAAAAGAAAAAACGAAGAATTCGCCCGAGCACTATGTCGGTTGAAATCGTTTCAGAAGTGCGGCGAAGTTCGATATTTACATTCGATTACGTCGCCGATTTCGTAAGATAGCATTTAATGATTTCTTGATGTCGTATATATTTTATGCCGTGAGGTTTATTACGCTTCTATTAGAAAAGAATTACAATCTTTCAATTTCGAAAATAAATGTTATTAATATTACTTATTATATATTATTTAATATTATTACATAAAATATATATATATATATACATACAAAATTTCTATATAT